TCGGCCCCGCTCCGCTCGCGGCCAAGGAGTCGCTGCTGCTCTGTGGCCCCCAGCAAGGGGAGCGGAGAGCGGCCGGGCTGAGCGCCTGGCGCCCGGGCACGGGGAGCCTCCTAGGTGCGCGCCCAGCGGCTTCTTTGCGCCGCCTCCGGGCTCGTTCGGGGGACAAGAGCTGAACTTTAGTGATGAGGAAGAAGGAGTCAAGTGCGCCCTCACTGCCTTTAGAATTGCGGCCAGGCTTTGCCGGAGGGGACAGCCCTCGTGCCGGCCACGCGGCCGTCCCCGGGTGGCTCCACGTGCGGCCTTGAGGAGCAGGGAGCAGCGGCGCGACCTGCGGCTGCTGCCGCCCGAGGCTGCAGTTCTCTTTGGGGGTGTTGGGAATCATTCGTAGCAGTCGTGAGAGATGTAATTGGCACAGGGATTTTGTATTTAATAAGGGATAAGATTATTATCAGCCGAAATGCGTGAAAATGTTTAAATAAATACTGTTACTCCAGTGTTTAAAACAGTATTTGTCCTCTTTAATCTTGGATCAGGGTGCAGAGGACTTCTGAAGGAAGGATGAAGCAATCATTTGCGTATGTAGGTTATGCCACAGCAACAGGACGTCCTCTGGCCCTTTCTTTAGCTCAGAGAAGATTTCAGGCTGGTTTTTACATTGCTCAGTGATCACCACTGCATGGGGAGGTGTCAGTGTGAAGCCAGAGTTACCAGTGTGCAGAGACTTCATCTGTGCTTCGTATATTCTGCTGTGCGCGAAGCTGTTAGACTTTTCAGTCCAAAGAAAATGCCTTCTAGGGTTGTATAATCAAATGCAATGTGAGCCTGCCCCGAGTCTGTTCTAACTAACCCGAGCTAATCCTAAATATGTTTTAGCACTTAAAACTGGCATGGGCAGTCTATTTCTTTAACTACAGAATTCAGTCCTTTAAAACATCCTGAACAGAATAAAATCTTGAATGTATTCAGAATAATCATAAAGGAAAATTGTAGATTTTATTTAGGCTTGCTTTTCATGTGAGGCTACTACTACTTCGTGTGGTGAGAGTGGTGGATTTTGTTGTTTCTGAAGTATTTTGACAGGCTTCAAGGAGAAATGTATTAAGAGTAATATGGCTAATTCTTATTTTATCAAGTTTTCTTGTTTTTTTTTGTTGTTGTTTACAGATACTTTTCCAATTGATCCTATCCAGGAAAATTACGTCCGTAATGTGAGAAACTGCATTTTTTCAGTTGCCTATCCTACACCTTTTAAATCTAGAGTTCTTCTTGTAGCTGTTTCAAAGGTTGGCTATTACTTTTTGTTCCTTTGCTTTTGATAGAGATTATTAATACATGTTTTAATTGTTAATACAAGTACTAAAATATTTGTATATCATACACGTTTTATTGCTAGCTTCATGAGAGTAACACAGCACTGGAACAGCTTGTGCAGAGAGGCTGTGAAGTCTCCTTCCCTGGGGATACATTCTGCCTCAACACAATCCTGTGCAACATGTTCTAGGTGATCTTGCTTGAGCAGGGGAGTTGGACTAGGTGATCTCCTGAGGTCCCTTCCAATCTCAACCATTCTGTGATTCTGTGATACAGACCTTAAACATACAGAACATTTCAAACACTATTCATTCTCTGCACCTTCATTGTGATATTTCTCTTAAGAATGAAAAACATTTATTTAATAGAAAAAAATCATTTGACAGAAAAGACATTCATTGCCATTAAAAGTTTGATTTTTTGACTTTTTTTTTCTCTTTTCAGGACGTTATTGAAAGTATTTTGGATCTTGATATATCGGTCACAGGAAAAGATGATTTTCTTCAGTTGGTCAGTGGTGAGAAATTGACACTTGGGTCTGTTCCTTTGGCTCACAGATATGGAGGTCATCAGGTAACCCTAACACTTGTTTTTCCAGGTGGAATAATATGTAATAATATATAGAGCTTTACATGCGAATTATACCCTGATAATCTATAAGTATGTGAATGATTATGAACACTTAGATTGCAAATTTGCCTTGCAGTAAGGGGTCACATGCAGATGAGGGAGAACTGCAGCATTCTTTCATATCTGCCTCAGTTTTCTCTGCCTCAGTTAATGCCAAAATTAAACTATCTTTTACCTTGGTTTAGCTGCAGAGTCTGCTTAGCACTCTTGCTGCCTGACAGGCTCTAATCTGTGATAATCATGATTACTTATAGTTAAATTTAATTGAAATCCCTATGACTGTTCCTGGTAGAAGAGTGGTACAATTTGATGCGTAGGCTGTAGCTGTACTTAAGTAGCTAGAAGGTAGAGAAAAGAAAAGGAGTTTCCTGCATTACTCTTTTTCTGTGCTTTTCTGCTTCATTGTTTCTGTGAGTTGGAAGGACAGTTTTAGGGATAGAAGCCTTAATGCCTACCTGAGCATATATGTTCTAGCATTATTTGGGTAACAGTGCCTCCACATATTTGTATTGTGTGTGTTAAGAGTGTAACTCCATAAACGATGGTGAGAGGAAATGACTTGATTTTCATTTTTTGCCAGTTTGGTATCTGGGCAGGTCAGCTGGGTGATGGAAGAGCCCACCTGATTGGAGTGTATACAAACAGGTGCGATATAGTTTTAAATGATTTATTTACTTCTCTGTACTGTTTAGTTGATTCCTGATACCATGAAGATTTGGTGTATGAATGGTGACTGTATTTTTGCAGGCATGGTGAGAGGTGGGAATTACAGTTAAAGGGTTCAGGAAAGACCCCATACTCCAGGTAAACTGCAGTTAATTCATAAACACCGTAATTGCATGCTTTCTTTTTAAAATTTGCCCTGGTTTTACAATCTATTCCTTATTCTCTGTCCTCCGTAGGAATGGCGACGGAAGAGCAGTGCTTCGCTCTTCTGTGCGAGAATTTTTGTGCAGTGA